TTTTTTCAAAATCTTCTAATGCTAAACCTTGACCACGATAAACTTTGAACGGAGTAGCTGTGTTCATGTTCTCAGATTGTTGTTTATGATATAAATTTTGAATGTGTTGATGTAAATGACGAATAAAAAAGCCCATTTTAAGAATAATGTCGACATCCATTTGTCGAAGACCACGATTAAGCATTGAGTACATAAAATAAGGAGCCGTATACCACCAAATTGGTGTATGATCACGATATTCACGTTCGATTAGTTTAATTTGATCTTCAGATATATCCTTTTGTTCGCGACAGTATGTAACAAGATCTTTCATAGATTTTTTATCATCATCTTCGATTTCTAAGACTGCTTCTTTCAAAAGTTGTGTGTACATAAACAATGCATCAAGACCATTGAAACTGATCGAGATCATAGCTTGATCACAACGTTGTCGATCGATTTCAAGGGCTTTACAAATTGGTTCGATTTTTGTATATACGCCTTTGATCTTCGATACTTTGTTGGCCCATTGTTCATGATAAGATTGATTACCACAAAAAACGTACACAGATTCTAATTGTGGCATGGCTTCCATTTCTGGTACAAATTTCTGTCCAAGTGAACCCGATACGATCATAAATGCCTTTTCATTTTTAATACCACTAAGATAATCAGAACATTGTTGAGCATCGGTGAATGTTGTAATGGATGCTACAATTCGTCGTAAATGTTTTAACGAATTTTGAAAATCTTCCTTTGACTCGTCAACATTGGCATCGAGCCAGACGAGAAGAAAATTCTGAATAATTCGACGAGCAGGTTGAGGAATCGCAGCATTTCTGCCCATCGGTGACACTGATGCTGCTGTTGATGATGATGATGATGTTTTCTTTGGTTTATTTGTTGTGGACGATGAAGAAGATCCACTAGCAGTCGATTTTGAATGTTGCTTTTTGTCCATTTGGATGATGTTGATAATAATAATGACGTTGTGTTTTTCGTAAATGAATAAATAGATAAAAATGTAAGTACTGGTTGGATGGTGATGAAAAGAAAGAATGAGCAAAAACAGAATTCGTCTCTTTCTCCTGTAGATATTTTTTATGTTGATTTTTTCTTCTTTCGTGTTGATACTTTCTATCTTTTGGTTTATGGTTGTTATTACTATAGAAGACTTGAAGGATTTCTTATCTCAATCTTTTGTTCGTTTGTTTTTGTTTTTTATTTCAAGAGTTTTGTTACTGACGAAATGATAACGACAAAACATGTGACAAACGAAATCTCTGTGCATCTGGCATGAAAACGAAGAATCCGTCCAAAAAGCATGAATAGTTACACTATTGATCGATCGTCATTCATAGAAGAGAAAAAACGAAAGATTATGAATAGGATCTCAAAATGAATTGCTTCATATATTGTTTGTATTCATTGTTTTTTATTTTTCGTTTGCTTTTATCTGGTCTCATTAGAAAAATTCTTTTATCTTTGTCTATGCTACTATGTGCAAGATATCTTGAATCAATAAAATAGGTCTCTTACCAAACGACAAACCAAAATGAAGAGGAAAAAACGAAGCTGCTCGTTTCTATTGTGATCTTTTTTCTAGCAAAGTATTTATTTTAATCATAATACAGTGTGAAATCAAGAAAGAAAGCAAATTCCTTTTTTAATTAATGTAAAAATGTTTAAAACATATATTTTTTTTCTGAAGATACAACAGAAGTTTCTTTAGTTTTTCGATAGAGATCATTCTCTTCTTTTGTTGAATTGGTTGTTTTGCTCGAGTCATTATGTTTTGTTATCTTTTGAAGTTTGCATCGCTATCTCAACAAGTCGAGGAAGAAGAAGAACAAACAAAGATAAACTTATAGAATAAAATGAATCAATGTTATTTGCATTGTTGTCAAGGTTTTTTCCAACATCGTCATTGTAAGTAGATAGTAAGAATGAGCAACGAAATAATACCACGTATAGATGTGATATCCTATAGATATAATGCTAACAGATTTTTACTAATAATGAATGTATTTTATTTATGTGAAGAGATATGAATAAAAACATGATTTTTTTTCATCGTTGCTGATATTATATATAATAATATATTTATAGAATTCAAAAATGTTTGTTCTTGCTATGTGTATTGTAGTTTAATAGAATTTATCACATACAACTAAATGTTATAACAGTACAACAAGAAAACAATCAAAACATATGCCTATCAGATATACAATGATTGGAAGTAGAATTCAAAAAACATACACAGACACATGACTGAAATGAGAAAATATAAACATATACTAGTTTTTATGTATTAATAATTCGATATTGTATATAAACATGATATGGTGGTTTTGTTAGATCATTATGATTGTTCGATTGATATATTGTAAGTCAAAGATTATTGAATGAATCAATATAAACTATCTAATAGTTTAAAACAATATAGGAAACATTATTATTTACATAAATTAAAAAGTAAACATACTTATTTTTTGTTGAATGCAATGATTTTCATTTATAATAATAAAAGT